CTCCTCCTCCCCCTCCCCCAAGGTTCCAATTTGATTGGACGGTTTTTTTGTATATTTTGAACTAATTTTGATGATTATTTCTTTATTAAATAGGTTATACCTCAAGGGTGGTTTCGTATAAAATTCGAGCAAAAACTTACATCTCTAGGGGTAGCAAATAAATCACTTTAACAGTGGTAGAGCCACGCGGCAGATTTTGCTCTCGCACAGATGGGCCGGCTCGAACCGGGGTGGTACCACGACCTCACAGAATGCCAGCGTGAAGTAGAAGTTCACTTCTGCATTTCGCCTGGTGAGTGCAGGTGGCCGGAGGCCCAATCCCCCCCGCCCCCTCAACAACATGGTAGCGGAATTAAACGCAACACTACCCCAGGAGGGTACCAGCATCCCTGGAGAATCCCTCGCTAAGCATCCACGCCCAAGCTACCCTAATTTTTCTGAGCGTGAGTACTCAAGCTGCCCCGCGTACTCTGGAGGGGGAGGGGGGCGAAATTCCGCTCAAGACGAAACCTGCTCGGGGCAAGCAGAGCAATAAGACAAAGGCAACCCCTGCCACGCTTTCCGTTATTTTCTGCAATATCAGGGGACTTCATTCAAACCTTAACGCCGTCCACTACCATCTGGAAACGGGAAAGCCGGCCTTGCTCTTTCTAACTGAGACACAGGTGTCCTCTCCGGCTGATACTTCGTATTTCTCCTACCCGAGGTACAAATTAAAACAGTCCTTTGTGCCACGGACTAGAGATTGCGTGTACGTCAAAGAGCACATCTGTTTTCGACGCCTCGGCAGTCTTGAAATTACGGACCTGTCCATCCTATGGCTGCGCGCGACCATCCCCGCGTCTACGGGTGCCTCTAAAGGTCCCATAGCGGTAATGCCGACACTGACCGACTCATCGATCACGTCCAAATGGCTGCAGACTCCGTGCTACAACAGGTCCCATCCGCAGAGATCGTGATTCTCGGTTATATTAACGCCCACCACCCATGACTTTGCCTTGGTATATGGTCTAACACAACGGGTTACTTCGCTTACGCGGATCCCAGATGTGGAGGATCATGTACCTTCCCTGTTGGACCTTCCGCTAACCTCTCATCCGGACGGATATCAGGTCTCCGTCGATGCCCCTCTAGGCTCTTCGGACCACTGTCTAATCCAGAGTACGATGCCACTTACACTCCCATCGCAGTTGCGATCTGCAGCTTGCCGCCGTGTTTGGCACTATAGGTCGGCCGATTGTGATGGGATGTGGTCTTTTTTTTCTTTTTTTGTACCCTTGGGGGCGGGTTTGCTTCTCGCCGGATGATCCCAACGCTGTTGCTGATTCTGTCGCTGATGTGGTACTTCAGGGAATGGAATTATTTATTCCATCTTCTGTGGTGTCTATTGGAGGCAGAAATCAGCCATGGTTTGGTCACTCCTGTAAAATTGTATCACGCTATAAGCAGGAGTGCTACCGAGCCTGGACTGACGCATCAACGTCCGGGGATGTAAACACCAGCGCTCATAAAAAGAAGTATAATTCCGTCTCCAGGTCCTTTAAAAGTGTCATTTCCAAGGCAAAGTCTAAGCATATTGGCAGAATTGGCGAGATACTAGTTCGCCTCCCATCGGGAACACTTGCATTCTGGTCGCTCGCCAAGGCTGTCAAAGGGAGTTCCCTTGTACAGGGTGGACGTCTCACTGACCCATGACGCAAAGGAGAAAGCCGATCTGCTAGGCTCTCTTTTTGCGTCCAACTCGATTCTAGAAGACGGGGGAAACACACCGCCGACCATCCCGCGATGTGGGGGCTCCATGCAGGAAGTGCTGTTTACACAGCGCTTGGTACGTAAAGCACTCTCCCTGGACGTTAACAAGCCGAGTGGGCCTGATGGTGTCCCACCCATTGTGCTGAAGACGTGTGCTCCGTAGTTGGCACCGGTTTTAACGCGTCTTTTTCTGTACTCCTACTCCCTAGGCGTAGTCCCGAACTTATGGAAGACAGCTTTGGTGCACCCGATCCCTAAAAAAGGCGACCGCTCAGATCCGTCCAACTACAGGCCTATCGCTATCACCTCCTTGTTCTCCAAAGTTATTTTTTTATAGGACAGAGTGACAAACGAGCACACAGTCCACCTGATGGTAAGTGGTTGCTGTGGCCCATAGACATCTACATCTATCCTCCTTTGCGACTCAAAATGCAAAGTAATGAAAACCATTATTAACAGCCAGCTCATGCGGTACCTTGAGGATCACCAGCTGATTAGTGACCGCCAGTACGGTTTCCGTCGAGGTAGTTCAGCTCGTGATCTTCTAGATTACCTAACTCATAGATGGGCGGAGGCAGTGGAGTCCAAGGGGGAGGCGTTGGCCGTTAGTTTGGACATAGCGAAGGCTGCTGGACAAAGCTGGCTTCCCGAGAAATTGTGCAATTGGATCACCAGTTTTCTTGCTGATCGGAGCATCAAGGTCGTAGTAGACGGTGCATGCTCCGATTACAGGCCCATTAATGCTGATGTTCCATAAGGCTGTTATCACCAACGCTGTTTCTTCTGCATATCAATTATATATTCATTGTTATGCAGACGACAGCACTGTTGATGCTTTATACACCGACCGCGCCAATATTTCTCGGGAAAACGTCGCCAAGTACCGGAACAAACTTGTGCCTGAAGTAGAGACCTTGTTGAACAAAGCCTTAGACTGGAGGCGACTAATCTATTCCAGTTCAATCCCCAGAAGACACAAGTTTGCGCGTTTACCGCTAAAAAGAACCGCTTTGTCGTATCTCCTCAGTTTCAAGGCACTCCCCTTATTGCCTCAGGCAGTATCGGAATCCTCAGTGTCGACATATCGAGTGACGTAGTTTCGTGGTCACTTGGAAGAGAAGGCCAAATTGGCCTCTAAAAAGCTTGGCGTGCTCAGCAGAGTAGGACAGTATTTCATGCCGGCACACCGCTTGCAACTCTACAAGGCGCAGGTTCGGCCTCACATGAAATACTGTTCCCATCTCTGGGCAGTGGCTCCCCAGTGCCAGCTCCTTCCACTTGACCGCATCCAGCGCAGAGCGGTTCGAATCGACGACGACCCAGATCTTTCCGATCGGCTTGACTCACTGGCATTGCGTAGATGTTGCATCTCTTTGCGTATTTTATCGCATCTATCACGGGGAATGCTCTTTTGTTCGGACTAATTCCAGTCGCTCAATTTCACCATCGCACATCGCGAGACCATCCATACCATCGGGATGATTAGCGGTCCACCACTGTGCGATTTAGAAGTTTTCTCCCTCGCACAACTTCCTTGTGGAATCGATTACAATCAGCGATTTTTCCGGACCGATACGACTTAGGGACCTTCAAGAAAAGAGCCTACTCCTTTTAAAAGACCAGCAACGCATCTGCAATTCCCCTGGTGTTGCAATGTTTCGTGGGCGGGGTAGTCACTTACCATCAGGTGAGCCGCATGCTCGTTTGCCCCCTCTCCAATATAAAAAAAAAACTGTTTAAGCATCTTGAAGTCAGTTTTTACTCTTTGTTAACCAATTCGTTGCGGCACCGATTATCGACAACTTTTAGCTGTGGCGACGAACAAATATTTCAGGACACTCCTGGCGAGTCAAGCGCCACAGAAGTTGATGACACGCCTATTATGCCATCAGCCATGTGTAAAAATATTTTCCTTATTTTATGCCTTTTTCACTTGTTTAAACCTAATTAAGTTTAGTTGACATCAAACATCAGTTACAAATGGAAGGATACTTGTTTTTTTGGTCGGTAACTACGTGTTTTCCTACGTGTTGTCTTTGAAATTGAGAGTAAGTAATTTTTTTTAATGCAGAGATTACAAACCTTTTGTACTAGTTTTTGTTTTATAAAAAAAAATCATTTATATAACTAGGTACAGCTAAATCACCCTGGAAAACCTTGGTTTGTATTAAATTAAATTTTCACCTAATAATAACATTTGTAATTATCAAACAATCAAGAACCTTAATTTGGAAAAAAATAAGGTGTATGATTCATTGATATTTACAAATGTTAAATATTATTTAATGTTATAGAAATGTAAAAGTAAAGTCGATCTAAAAACGTCTAATTAGTAAGACAAGTGTTTTCAAAATGTAAAATCGCCGGCGGATTGACAAAACACTATTTAACTTTTATATGCATGAACGGTTTCGAACTAATTCAAGCAAAAATAAACCTCATGTCATACACAAAAGCACATGGTACTTCGTAGGTCTATTCGGCCATAATAAGGCATTTCTAGCAGACATGGAAACTTCAAATTTGCAAAATATTTTAATTTTGAAAAATTAAAATATTTTGCAAATTTGGTCCAGTTTTCGAGATACACTAATTGCATAAATAGCTTTGTAATTCCATATAAATATATAGAATTACAAAGTTACATTTGCAGCGAATGAATCAGTGTAGTTATATATGTGTAATATAATGGAATAATAGGTGTAAATAGGTACCTAGATATAACTATCTACAAAAAGAAATGAGATGCCATCAAAAACATAACTTGTAAAAAAAAAACCAAGTCTCGCAACTCAGTTCTTCTACTGTAAATAGTTGTGAGATCCATGTAATACCAAGTCGGTTAATTTAATCAGTCCCTACTTAAGGGTCCTTCTGTCTTAAGTTATTACGTAATTAGCTTACCTAACAACATCTTATAGTGACCATATCAATATTAAAAATCTTTTGTTTTAAATAAATAAATTGACTTGGCAGTCAATCTAATATTACCAAATATTACTGTACTCTTTGGCGGGGTCTATAACTTTGACAAGTAGATCTCCATACACTTATTTCAGAAGTTGAAAGGTTAAATCAGCTTTATAGAAATTAAGCCTACTTTTCCTGTTGGTATAAAAACTTCTTACTTGTAATCTGGGTGTGTACATAATGCATGCATTTGCGCTAAGACATCATCTTCTGCATCCTTATTCTTCTCTAACACTGAAATAAGAGGATGCTGTGGAGACTTAAGTGAAAACTGGCATTTATAAGGCTGCCCTGGTATAAGACGTGAGCGAAGGTCCAAAACTAAGAGCCCTGCCATTGTCGATATAGTTGCAGAGTAATTTCTGAAAAGATTTCAAACTTAAACAAAAAAAATAACAGACATGTCAGAAAAACAAACATTAAAAGGAAAATAGGTAATTTAAATATAAGTAACAAAATATTCAAATTACTATAATAGCTTACTGAGCACTTGGAAGTAAGGTTATGACGGTGGACATAGTGTGTCCAATCTCAAGAACTCCTAGCTCTACTAAAGCCAAAAGGCCTTGGTATGCAGTAAGACTGACAAAAGTATTTTCTGACATGCATTTTTCTCGTAAGAATTTGAGTTCTTCATTCTCTAAAACGAATCTCTGCCTTTCAGCCGGCTTATACTTCGATTTTATGATAGAAATTAACTTATCGATAGCATTTACTATTAATACATTATTTTTCGTTTTTAACTTGTATTCTATTTCATCCATTTTAAGTTACTCGAACGTTTTTATTAGTTAGAATTAAAATTTAGAAATTAGTTGAAAATAGGTAAACACAATTTACAAGTGCCAACCAGTGCCAACTGTCAAGGGCATAGATATATAAATAAATATTAGGGATGTCGATGATCATCGATGTCAAAAATGATAACATCGATGTTGCCACAATAAACCTATAATCAATTATTGGGTACTTGCGAATACTGCGAAGCCGCGAAATCAATATCAACTAAATCTTGCATCTCCTCTAAAATATTTAAAATTTTGAATACTTAATTCAGAATGCTTGAACGCATCGATAACCTAAAAATATATCATTATGGTGTATCAAATTTAAATGTCAAGTGTCAACCGTAATGTCGCATTTGTCTCTTATTTCGTTTTGTTATCTTGTTGTCTGTTTCTTTATCGGTTGTTTTAAAAAATATCCGATGGTTGATCTTAAACACGATCCAATGCACGTTTAGAACAGTGTTATTGGTTCTAACTATCTAAAATAAAATAAAAAAACTTACGGTGAGATATTTCACCACAATCGCTATATCAACACCATATGAGCGGTTATCTACCGACTTCAAAAAGGAGGAGGTACTCAAAGTGACTGTATGTTCTTTTTTTAATGTGTGTTACATCATAACTTTTTTCTGGGTAAACCGATTTCGATGATTCTTTTTTTTATTTGAAAGCTGGTGCTTGGTCATGTGCTTCCATATAAATTTGACCCATATAAATATATATATATATATATATATATATATATATATATTGACCCATATATATATATAATAAAATATACATATATATATATATATATATATATATATATATTTATATGGGTCAAATTTATATGGAAGCACATGACCAAGCACCAGCTTTCAAATAAAAAAAAGAATCATCGAAATCGGTTTACCCAGAAAAAAGTTATGATGTAACACACATTAAAAAAAAGAACATACAGTCATATTGACCCATATATATATATAATAAAATATACATATATATATATATATATATATATATATATATATATATTTATATGGGTCAAATTTATATGGAAGCACATGACCAAGCACCAGCTTTCAAATAAAAAAAAGAATCATCGAAATCGGTTTACCCAGAAAAAAGTTATGATGTAACACACATTAAAAAAAAGAACATACAGTCACTTTGAGTACCTCCTCCTTTTTGAAGTCGGTAGATAACCGCTCATATGGTGTTGATATAGCGATTGTGGTGAAATATCTCACCGTAAGTTTTTTTATTTTATTTTAGATAGTTAGAACCAATAACACTGTTCTAAACGTGCATTGGATCGTGTTTAAGATCAACCATCGGATATTTTTTAAAACAACCGATAAAGAAACAGACAACAAGATAACAAAACGAAATAAGAGACAAATGCGACATTACGGTTGACACTTGACATTTAAATTTGATACACCATAATGATATATTTTTAGGTTATCGATGCGTTCAAGCATTCTGAATTAAGTATTCAAAATTTTAAATATTTTAGAGGAGATGCAAGATTTAGTTGATATTGATTTCGCGGCTTCGCAGTATTCGCAAGTACCCAATAATTGATTATAGGTTTATTGTGGCAACATCGATGTTATCATTTTTGACATCGATGATCATCGACATCCCTAATATTTATTTATATATCTATGCCCTTGACAGTTGGCACTGGTTGGCACTTGTAAATTGTGTTTACCTATTTTCAACTAATTTCTAAATTTTAATTCTAACTAATAAAAACGTTCGAGTAACTTAAAATGGATGAAATAGAATACAAGTTAAAAACGAAAAATAATGTATTAATAGTAAATGCTATCGATAAGTTAATTTCTATCATAAAATCGAAGTATAAGCCGGCTGAAAGGCAGAGATTCGTTTTAGAGAATGAAGAACTCAAATTCTTACGAGAAAAATGCATGTCAGAAAATACTTTTGTCAGTCTTACTGCATACCAAGGCCTTTTGGCTTTAGTAGAGCTAGGAGTTCTTGAGATTGGACACACTATGTCCACCGTCATAACCTTACTTCCAAGTGCTCAGTAAGCTATTATAGTAATTTGAATATTTTGTTACTTATATTTAAATTACATATTTTCCTTTTAATGTTTGTTTTTCTGACATGTCTGTTATTTTTTTTGTTTAAGTTTGAAATCTTTTCAGAAATTACTCTGCAACTATATCGACAATGGCAGGGCTCTTAGTTTTGGACCTTCGCTCACGTCTTATACCAGGGCAGCCTTATAAATGCCAGTTTTCACTTAAGTCTCCACAGCATCCTCTTATTTCAGTGTTAGAGAAGAATAAGGATGCAGAAGATGATGTCTTAGCGCAAATGCATGCATTATGTACACACCCAGATTACAAGTAAGAAGTTTTTATACCAACAGGAAAAGTAGGCTTAATTTCTATAAAGCTGATTTAACCTTTCAACTTCTGAAATAAGTGTATGGAGATCTACTTGTCAAAGTTATAGACCCCGCCAAAGAGTACAGTAATATTTGGTAATATTAGATTGACTGCCAAGTCAATTTATTTATTTAAAACAAAAGATTTTTAATATTGATATGGTCACTATAAGATGTTGTTAGGTAAGCTAATTACGTAATAACTTAAGACAGAAGGACCCTTAAGTAGGGACTGATTAAATTAACCGACTTGGTATTACATGGATCTCATAACTATTTACAGTAGAAGAACTGAGTTGCGAGACTTGGTTTTTTTTTTACAAGTTATGTTTTTGATGGCATCTCATTTCTTTTTGTAGATAGTTATATCTAGGTACCTATTTACACCTATTATTCCATTATATTACACATATATAACTACACTGATTCATTCGCTGCAAATGTAACTTTGTAATTCTATATATTTATATGGAATTACAAAGCTATTTATGCAATTAGTGTATCTCGAAAACTGGACCAAATTTGCAAAATATTTTAATTTTTCAAAATTAAAATATTTTGCAAATTTGAAGTTTCCATGTCTGCTAGAAATGCCTTAGAGTTTTGATCATCGGTCAGTCAGTGAGTGACAAAATTGAGAAACTTTGACTAGTTATAATTCTTAAACTACTGGTTCAAATTTAATAACATTTGAAACATATCGAGATTATACAATGCTTTCTTGGTTACTGAATTCAGACTTTTAGTTTTATCCACAACGAAGTTATAGGGTTTTCAAAAATGGCCTGAACTGCTTCGAGAAAAGGATGGTACGGCTGTGCCGCTTGTTTGCTCGACTTAGTGGTGCAATGCCGTGCCCCTAGATACACGTAAAGATACATATTCGTTTAATGTCAAATTAATGTACATACTCTTTTTATTTTGAGGGTTTTAAATTATGTTGTGGAAAAATAGTCTAATAAGTAACAAATAATAGAACTCATTGCGATCGCTCACAAACTTAAGTTGTAAATAAATTTCTAGAAAAGTCTCCTGTTAAAAAAAAATGAATTTGTCTTATTGTTTAATTGTGATTAAAATGGTTAAACTGCCGTGTTATTATGTCGCAATTTTATTCAACCGTAATGTCGCATTTGTCTCTTATTTCGTTTTGTTATCTTGTTGTCTGTTTCTTTATCGGTTGTTTTAAAAAATATCCGATGGTTGATCTTAAACACGATCCAATGCACGTTTAGAACAGTGTTATTGGTTCTAACTATCTAAAATAAAATAAAAAAACTTACGGTGAGATATTTCACCACAATCGCTATATCAACACCATATGAGCGGTTATCTACCGACTTCAAAAAGGAGGAGGTACTCAAAGTGACTGTATGTTCTTTTTTTTAATGTGTGTTACATCATAACTTTTTTCTGGGTAAACCGATTTCGATGATTCTTTTTTTTATTTGAAAGCTGGTGCTTGGTCATGTGCTTCCATATAAATTTGACCCATATAAATATATATATATATATATATATATATATATATATATATATATATATATATATATATAAGACTGAGCAATAGCTTTTGAGTTATCCTTAATAATTTATATTGAAGTCAGTTGTACATTATTTTTATTTTTAAATTATTTTCAATAGATGCCTCAACTATTTATCAGCAGATAAACAAATTGAAAGGTAGTTCTTTGTCAAAATTAGTATTTCTTCAATCAATCGGCAAAAATATTGGACTATATAACAAATTAACTAGATATTTGTGAACTTCTTCCAATTTTTTTAAATTACTGTTTTACACTACATTCTTTATTAATTTCTTTTATTTTATTGATTTTAAACGATAAACAACATGACAATTTTCTATTCATCTAATTCTAACCTATTAAATACATGTGCAAAAAACATCGATAATGGCCAACGTCGATGTTTTGAGTAGGATAAACATCGAACATCGATGTTTAGCTATCGATGACAACATCGATATTATCATTGATGTTTCTACAACATCGACCATCCCTAATATATATGTAAAGTAGAATATACTTACGCCAGTATATTCTAAGTCTGTGGATTATATACTCTTTGCGCATATTTGCAATACGGAAATTATGTATTGGTACGGTAAGATTCCTGTTAACGGGTTTTGAAACTATTTATCTTAATTACTATGTATTTCTTACATTGAGTTACGTTTCGGTATTTGTAACTTTGAACGGTATAATGTGTAAATGTTTCCGACAATTGAAGTACCATCGTTTAAATAAATTGGAATAATAATAATTATTTACTTGATTATTGAACTTTATACTTCATCCAGACTTCGATCTGCTTACAATTTGTTTAAAAACTAAATAAAAGCGTACTTAAAAATTTATTTACCTTCTTAAAACATTTAGAATCTGTAAAATATTTTTTTTTTCATATATACACTACTTACTCGTGAGTTACATATGTCTACTGGGACCTTACATGGCACCAGAAAGTCACCTACCATACAACACAGCCTGCTAAGCAAATAACAACACGTCTTTGAAGACAAGACTCAATTCACTACATGACTTATAATTATAAGAATATTCAACATAATATAAAACCCAGGGTCTAATTGTTAAGACAGCCCAGTAGTAATGAAGTCTAGTATTCCTGTCTACTCACATTGTCACAGTAGTTAAGTTAACTTGTAAGTCAGAAAATAAAAGTAATATAAAGTCTTCATCTCTTTCCACTTCAACCTTCCCTAAGCTACCGCAAACATAAGTCGCGTTATTAAGTTATTTACATTTGTCTCTTTTCACATTAATTAATTGTTGTTCATCTTTTGAACTTGTAAAACGTGTAATTATTAATAATTATTAGTCCAATTTTGACGTTGCAATTCCAAGACCTAATGGCTTCAATGTCGCGACGTTAACATTTTTCGCCAATAAATATTTTCTCACGATAAATAATAATCGTGCAACCTAATAGCGTATTTTAGGTTTTCAGGTTTCGCACCTATAGTTATTACAACTACATATTAATATTTTGAATATATATATATATATATATATATATATATATATATCTCCTTCTTCCTTGTTACACTTCTTGTGCGCCTTCTGGGGTAACCGAGGAATGTTTTCCGAGTTTATGTATGTACATTTGTGTTTTTCTTTGACGCGCCCTGTAGTCTAAACTACTTGACGAATTTTAACGTAAGGGATGTTATTGGATTCGTCTGAGTTGTGGAAGTGACATAGGGTGTAAACATTTTCTCTAGTGACCGACCGAAGATTCGGTTTCGGTTTCTGTTTCGGCAATTTGCGGCATAAAAATCTAGTTTCGGTATAGTATCGGTTTTGGCAAAAACCTGCCGAACCTTCGGCAGCGCCGAAACTCAGTGTTCATGGATTATCGTGCGCGTAGAGAGAGAATAAAATGTACATACTCCCTCTACGATCGTGCGTCATTCGGATGAGTTCGTGACTCGTGTATTATTATTCATAATTATACAAAAACCGAAACAGAAACCTTATTATTCAATATAGATTATAAATAATACTTATTGAAAGTAACTTTTTTGTTTAATTACCACTGCTTCGAAAAAAAACCTCTGTCCTTGGAAGAACCAGCAAGAAACCCAGCGGGACTTTTTTTTAAAATAACAGCTTACAATCAGAGTCGTAGCGTGGACTAATATAATAGATCTATCCTACCAAACACGTTTGACACGACATACCTACTCATATCTATTAATTCCTGACAAGTCTCGTATTCCGTCAATGTAACAGTCACGGTCTTTGAAGGTATACTAGAATTATTTTGTCCGTGCAGTTTGGGTCATAAATAATCGGAGTATTTCGCTCTCTCTCCCAATCACGGGCCTTAGGGGCGGGCATAGTGATGCGCATTATTGTTGTCGATAAGCTTTATCGATAGTGTATATAGTTTTGTCATTATGTGGGTTAGTGATAAAAATGAAAAAAAAAATAGATAAAACAAAGTATTTATTAAAATAAGAATAATAATAATTTAAAATAAATTAATAATTAGGTATCCATGTATTAAAAAACTATAAGTGCAAGTGTTTGGAATATAACAAATTATATTAAAAATAAATATAAATATGAAGATAATAACTTATATTTGGTTTTGGTATAATACTTTATACGTGGTAGAGCCATGCTGGTCCTCACGGGTGACGACACATGTGTATTTTGATTCGTAATCGAAGATGGATGTGAATGTCTGTGGGCCACAGCAACCACTTACCATCAGGTGGACTGTGTGCTCGTTTGTCACCCTTATCTTATAGAAAAATATCTAAAATTAAATCTAAAACTATTTCTTTCCATGATTCATTTGTTGTTATCGATAATGGTGTTGCGCCCGCGCAACATGCTCACCGCCCTAGCCGCGCTGAGGCCGAGCTATGATTTATGACCCCAACTGCATGGACAAAATAATTTTACTATAGTTATAACGGCCTCGCAGTTGTCCATAAGAGGGGCTTCTTGCGAGGCCCCAAACAAACACACTTAAATTTGTGACTTTCTTTTTCGAGCGTAAAAGTGATCAAATTAATTAGTCATCTGTGGTAAATTCTGGGGGCATCGCATTTTAAAGGGCCTCGCGAGGCCCCTTTAAGTGCGAGACCATAGGCGAGGGCTCGCTTCGACCACGCCTAGCTACGCCACTACTTACAATCATGTATGTGTAGCACAATTAACAACACAAAACAAATTAGAAATAGCTTGGTAGTGATCACGTTATTCCCAGGGGTTATTATCATCCATAAATTCTTTAATATTATAATAACCATTTTTATACAAACTTAGTTTATTAAAGTTTTTGAACTTTGAGCAGGTTTTGTATATTTTCTGGGATTTTGTTAAGTTGTGTGTGTATATTGTGAGTGTGTGAGTGTGATATAGTAAGTTAATGCTTTCATTGAATAACACTATCAATATTGTGAACGCAA